TATAGTCCACTAATGGCCTTCGTAGTGGTTGATGGTCATCTGGACTATCGTTACGTTCAAATGTACAACCCCGGTTCCCATCATCGAAACTACTTTGTGAGTTACGACGGTAGAGAGAAATACCATTTCAAATTCAGCCCCACCGTCTGGACCAAGGATCTTGGGTGCGTCCTTGGTATCTGTGGTAATGCCATTGGCACTTGCGGAAACACCTGTGTGTATGCCGACGATTACAATAAAAGGTATGGTGGTCCTGGAGCAATTTCGGTATATTTTTATCGGGCGAGAAGAATTCAAGATTCCATTGATTTTCCTATTCGTGAACGTAACGGCGTTACCGAAGATAATAACGGAGAAGACAGCGAAGAATTAGAAGAAGGTGAATGGAGCTATGACGAAGTAAGATTCGAACAACAAATTCTACCTAAATTCGAATTAAACCAAAATATTCTGGTCGAGAATAAATTGGTGACCAATTCGATTTGGATTTCGACCAAGTTTGAATGCGAGAAGTTTCCCAACGGAGTCGTAATGCCAAATGCCAATATTTTAGAAGCAATCGATACTTTTCCCGTGGCGGCTTTACACTTGCATTACCGGCTTGCGACAAATAAATTGCCAAAGATGATCGAGCAATATACAAACAGAAATGCTGGAAAAGATGTAGAGAATGAATGGATTTTTGATGACTTCTTTGATAGGCAAGGACCTACTAAAGAATTGACTAATCCATTGATTAAACAGGAATTTTCTGGCGAAGGCTTTTACGTTTCATTAATGAATCCAGATCCTATCAACAATTACATGAATCTTTCAACTAATTTTGAAGATGTCGAGGATGTCAAGGACAAGCAAGAATCAAAAGTTAAAACATCATTCGAACAACAATTCGAATTTAACAAGGACAAGGTATTGCAAGAGGAGATGAACCCTAAATTGTTATGCAAGGGAGACACTAAAACTCGATCGGTTGACGAGCTCAACAGAAAGGAAGGGTTCTATGCGATCTCATTTAATGGAATCGATGAAATCAAGATGGATGAAAAATTCCACCATAAAGAAAATTTGACACCTGGGATTCTAAATAATACAATTAAGACCTACGGTGTGTCCTATTTTTCTGAAAATATATTTTAGGATTTATATTTTATGCTTATTTGCCTGCCCCGCTACCCAAAAATAAAATTAGCTGGTGAACCAATGTTACCGAGATTCGACATTACATCACATTCTAGAGATTTTGAATCGGTCAATGTACTTG